AGAGAAACTTCATTTACTTCTTGTTTCAGATAGAATCGTCGGCTTGTTTGTTCATCTCCAAAGAGTTGAATATACAGATTCGCTTCTGTTTCGGCTCCCCAGCGATTTCCGGTTGTAATGGAGATTGTATAGGTCATCTCTGGAGAAGGGGATTAGTAAGAAGAACATCAAAATATTTTCTTGCTACCTTTTCCTATTGGTCTGGTCAGAGTGTCGGAGAATTAGAAAACATACATTCAATTATCCAAAACCTTTCAACAGAAAACTTCATTTTTCGAATGCTTCGTTTTTGTAGATGATCTGTTCATTTAATTACTTTTTTACAAAAAAAAAACTGAAAACTGATTGACACAACCCACTTTTGTCTTTCAATGGTGCAGGAGTACCTGGTCGTTCTGCTACAGCTACCGGTGGAACGAGGGCTTCTGCAAAGGTTCTATTTTTTTCGAAGTTTCAACAATTGGTCTCGAGTTGCTCGCACGTCGCGAACAAGCACTGCGCAATCAGCGCCATGAACATCCCCAAAAATATTTTTGGTACTCCTAGCTCAATCGTTCATTTTTATTATAGTTAACGCGTGCAGAAATTTTTCAATTTAATCTGATCATACCTTGCTCTAACGCTTCTTCATGTGGATGCTTTTCTTCTTGAACTTCTTCAGATGATGAAGGTGGACGTGGAATAATCTCAGGTTCGTTTTCAAGGAATCGCACTGTTAAAAAGCACGAATGTATATATAGAATTGAATTTAAAATAAGCCAAGAAAGACTTACCCATCATATCTTTTCTTGTTCGATACCCCCTATAATATGACTGTATCTTTGTCGCAGCTTTTTCTCGTTTTTTATTTTGTTCTGCTTCATCATTTACATCATCTGTTGGGAGAATCTCTTCTTGGGCGGTTTCTATTGATTCCTCCACCAAAGGTTCTCGCTGGCTATGTGGAGATGGGGCAAGATTTTCTTCAGCTGAAGGAGAAATTTCTTCAGGATTGCTGTCAGCTGATGTTGTTGGACGTTGCTGAGGTTCCTCGGCTTCCCTAGGGGTGAGATTTTCGTCATTTGAAGGGAGAATTTCTTCGCGATTGCTGTCAGCTGATGTTGTTGGACGTT